AATCCTGATGTGGTACCTTTAGCATCCAGGGATGGGAAGAGGGATCATCAGAATAGAAGATCTATGGCTCATCTCCACTAACTCTTCCTTCAATTTTTAAAAGTTGCAGTAAATAAGCATATTTTATGAGCAACAAATCTGAAGGCTATACGCATGTGAACAATTTGGTATATTATCAAATAAAACAAGCAAAAGGTTAATCTGAACTTTCAGTTATAGAGGACAGACTGAAACCACACACTAACCTTAGCTCTAACCAAAACTACGAAAATGACAGTACAGTTTTGTATGTGTGTGTGCGCATGCGTATTCATACAACAGAGACACACATATTGTATGTATCTATATATGCAGTGAATATACTGAATGTAACAGTATATATAACTATAAATAGTTAATAATACAGTTCACTATTTGTAAAGAGTGTAACTCCACAAAGAAAGAGAAGAGGTGAGGAAATCACGCTGGAAGAGGCTGAAAGCTGCCAAGCGTACGGGTGAATGGAAAGTGACGCAGCAGATCTGAAAGCATCAGAGCCTAAATCGGCGGTACTGTGTGTAAAACAAAGCTGCAATCTATTTCATACTGCAAAACTCCCAAACGGTCAAGAGTTTGTGGTAAAGAAACTTCTGAAAGTGGGATAAAGTTGGGATTAAAACAAATGACTTGTTTAAAGGCTGTTTAAAAAATAGCCAGATGTTCCCAGGTCTCTTCTCCCCACACGGCTGAGCAGTGCCTTCCATCTTCCCACTCCAGCAGAAGACCAGAGCTTTGTTCTGTGCAGCGGGTTAACGCAGAAAGTCACGTGACAGCAGATCCCACTGAGAGCAAGGGTACTGCCCTGACAAAGACGATCTTCCAAGCCTTCTCCCTCTTCTTCCTTCCACAAGGCATAAGATTAAAAAAACCTTCTCTGGGAAATCTTACCAGCCCCAGAAAAATGACCTAAGTGTAATAATGCTATGGATTCCCCAATGAAAAGGCCCATACTTTCTACCCTAATTGAAGCTCAGTTGATAAGACCCATTCACTGCATGGAGTTTACAATCCTATTCAGCTTTTTAGTGCTCTACTGCTACATCTGAATAGGGACCCAAAGCCTGATAGAAATTTGAAGTCTGTCATTTATTCTAGAATCGAAGACAAAAGAATAAAAAAAATTGGAGACTATGCAAAAAGAAAACTTCTAAAAGAGTATTCTTATTCCCAGGGAAATAAGAAATAAACAGGACTATTAAAAATAATATTCAGAGAACAAGAAGTTTCTTATAAATTAAAACACACACACACACAAAATAGCAGAAACAAACAAACAATAGAAATGCTCTATGATAAAAGTGAGGACGTTTCTCAAAAAGCAGAATAAAGACAAGAGGTAAAACATGAGAAAAAATATTTTAAAATTTTTATAAAAGACCAGGATAGGAGATCCAATTACTAAAGATAAAGAAAAATATTGGAGCAGAGGGAGTCAAATAAATAATTCAAAAAGAACTCCCAGAATCTAGGAGTACTAGGGCATCACACCCAAAACATGATGAACTTTCAGAACACTGGGAAAAGGAGAAGGTTCCATAAGTAGAGAGTGACAGACAAACACTGGAGAACAACAGTGCAAAGTCTTGAGAATTCTGAGGAAAAATTATTTCCAACCTAGAATTCAGCCAAGCAATCATAAAGATTTCCACCATATATTCAAGGTCTCAAAGATTTTACTTCCCATTTACTCTTTTCTCAGAAAGTTACCGGAGGTTAAGTTCTATCAAGGAAGGAGCAAACCAAGAAAGAGGAAGCATGGGACACAAAAGCAGTCGGTCCAACCCGAAGAGAGGCAGGCAGAAGAAAACTCCAGGATGATGGTATTGATGGGTGATCCCAAGACGACAGGTGTGAGGCTGGCCTAGAGAGCACCCAGGCCGATTCAGAGGTGGCTGCGAGTGAGACTGTTCAAAATAAACTTGATGAACATAGTGTTTGAACATAGTACAAGGGCATTTGCATAACTTGTTTGGAGGAAGTTTTGGGATGAATGAAAACTACATAGAATGCACAGGAAATACAAGTACAATAGGAAAAGCATCTTAGTATATATGGGCTTTAGACTGAATGGCATTGCCACAGGCATAACAACATGAACACTGAATTATGATCAAACCGAAAGAACACACTGGGGTGAAAGGCTGAGAGAAGAGTGGGTGTGGCAGAGGCAATGAACAGGCTGCTTTCCTCCCGGCCCCTGCAGTGAGTTAAGAGAATCAGTCCAAAGTTTAAGTTTCTCGGACTCGTTCCTTACCACTTTCTGGTCGTTTATGATTTTCTGAATGCCAAGTCTAGCAAACATTTCTCAGTACTTATTCTTTGGACATATCCGTAATATTGAACTCTAATAACATCTGACTGTGATTCTTGTTCTATTCCTGATTTTTGTGACCCTCTGACCCCATTCTTCCCTGGTTCTGTGACGAGTCCTTCTGTGGGCTTTCCGTGGCAATTAAGTTCAGACAGTGGATTGGGTCTCAGGAAATTTGTTCCTAGCTAAAGGGTTTGTAGGCAGGTGAGACAGAAATATTTTTTTTTACATGTGATTAAAATAACAATAGCAACAACAACAGTATTAACAATGATCGGAGCAACACAACCACGGGTGCCAGTCATGGTGACAATGCTGATGAAGATAAGAGTGACCAGCTCCAGTGCTACCTTTGTCTGAGTTTATGGGTCTAGACAGGAGAATCCTATTGGCTTTCATTAGCCAAATTACAGCAGGTAACCCAAAGAACCCAGATCTTGTTTGTAAAATATTCATTGCTATGCATTTATAACCTAGACAGGTATAAAAAGACTTTCCAGTGATACATAACACAGCTAAATCTAAAATGCGGATGAATAGAAAATGAGATAGCAACACACAAAACACGACTCTACTATATAAAGATATGTAACCCGCCCTGGCCAGTTTTGCTTAGTGATTAGAGTGTTGGCCCATGGACCTGAGGGTCTCAGGTTTGATTTCCAGTCAATGGCATGTGCCTGGGTTGCAGGCTTGATGCCCAACCCTGGTCTGGGTCATGTGGGGGGCAACCAATTGATGTGTCTCTCTCACACTGATGTTTCTCTTTCTCTCCCTCCCCTTCACATCTAAAATCAATGAAAAATTATCCTTGGGTGAGGATTAACAAAAAGTAAAAAGATATAAAAAATAATAAAAATATGTAACCTACATGTAAAGCAAAGTTAAAATTATTAAAATTGTTTTAATTAAAATATGTGTGTCAAGTATTCAGTATATCTTTTATATTTTCAGAGCAGTTTATATATAAATCCATGAAAACTTTATGACAGTACTGCTAGGTAAATGTTTAACGACAAAACTGTACATATTAAATAAAATAGAGTTTACTTATTTTAGAAACTTAACTTTTATTTAAAAGCTAATTTATAACTTTCAGAAAACACATTATAATATCCTTCTGCCACTGCTAATACAACATGCCTCACCACACAATCCAGACAGAAACACACAGGCCCCCTTCACCAAATCTAGAATGAAAATGTAACCTCTGCTCGTCACCGCTTTAGGAAGCCTGCAGGTAAGGCTGACGGGCCAGAGTGGCCCAGGGAGCTGTGCCTGCTGCAGCCAGGCGCGCTTTGCAACGCTGGAGTCATTTCTAGAATGTGCCACTTTCATGGCACACTGATATAGAAAGTCGTGGTAAACCCAATTATTTCTAATATTTGTTGAGCACTGAGGTGAGGCTGACTTTGCTAACTGACACGAGGCTAGGCTGGCCACATGGACGTGGACATGTGAAATCCTAATGGTATCTCGGCGTGAAAGCAGCACCTCTGAGTAACTCGAATTTTTTCTTGGCTACCTCTTTGTAAATCTGCTCCAAGTCTCTCAGAAGTCTTACACTGTATTCAGCCATTTCCTCTAACCACTAAATTCTTCTGTAGCTCAAGATGATCTTAAAATTCCCCCTTCTTCCAAGAAATGCCCCTTGACTTGTTGGAAGAGTAACCCTCGATTGGGGTACAGGGTTTTTATGTGCCTACCCTCCCTTCTCCAGTCCACTAAGGCACTTACCTCCCCTGCTCTGCTTACACGTTATCACCCTCCCACGTCCACGTGCCTCCCTGAGCCGGGCGCTGCGGAGGGAGGGCCAGCGGGAGCTCGTTCTGCTGGTGGGACGAGCTGGCAGTGGTGAAGGAGCCTGCCCCTTGCAGCCTGTGGCCTTAGAGAAGTTGCTGACCACTCTCTAAGCCTTGATTACCTAGATTCCCGGTGTCCTCACTGCTGGAAGGGCTAAGTGAGGTAATTCAGTGCAGTGCCTAGCATACGGTAAGCTCTCAACAAGCAGAGAATTAGCAGGACACCTGATAAAAGCTTTCTGACAATGACTAGACAAACATAAGGTAAATTGCAATATAAATATTTATTCTGAGTATTAAAATTAGACCTATAAAATTATATAGCTAATGAAAATGTTGAAGTAAAGATGCTTAGGAAATAAATGTCAATTAAATTACATCTTCTATTGAAGACACACTCTTTATTGGTTGAATGCTTTACACTAGATATTTAAAATAACACAAATATTCAGGACTGTAGTTTTATAATTTAATTTATAGTCATGTTAGCTACAGTGGTTAACATGCTTAAGAGACAATATCTGTATATTTCTTAATAAATGATAAATCAAGCACATGTATAAAAGATTAAACCTTCACTTCCAGTTACTATGATTTCCACCTACATAGCAAATAAACAAACATAACACTGACTTATTTCAAATAATGGACGCTCTATATGGCTATACTGTACTCTAAAGTGAGTTGAATTAATAAAGATGATCATGTCAGCTTATATGCATGTGTGCATGGACAATGGACATGGACAACAAAGCTGGGGACAGGGCAGGTAGGAAGGGGGAGGGGGGAATCAGTGGGGGGAAAAGGAGAAACATCTGCAACAAAAATAAATTAATTAATTTTTTAAAAAAAAGGAGATTCTGTGATACCCACAGAATAGTTGGAAAGCCCTGACACAGACTATTCATTTTCTGAAGCGAACGGTAAGATGAAGTGTGTATGAGGGGACTGACCTGAAAGACCTCACCATGACCTGAACACACGTCTGTGGTTCATCAGCAGCTCCTACTGCCTAGTGAGCTCCTGAGCGGGTACTTCAAAGGGCAGGAAGTGGAGAGAAAAGAGCTGGCCAGGGGGGAGCAGCCGGCATGGGCAGCTGTGCCGGCTCTCGCCCTGGGGCCTGGTGTGCTCTTTAGGAGACGTGAAGACAGCAGCTGTTCCAAATAGCACCTACATGGTATCCAAGCATGTAACAGAGGGTTCTTCAGGGACAGGTAACACACTGACAGGAAGTGACACATCAATTTAAGAGTGAGAGACACCAAAACAAAAGAGTTATGTTGAAAAGACACTTAATATTTAGCACTGTGAAAATAAAAATTAGGCAGCAAAATGCAAAGGTCACTAACTCATGGACATCTGGACCACAAATGATCTACTGCAAATATAACCTTTTTTTAATGCAGACCACAAATTTTCTAAACATCTTGAATCAGGAGAGCTAGGAGCTAGAACTATAACCTCCTAAGATGTCTAAACAGAACTTTCCAAATCTCTTATCAATCTGTCCATGTGTCTTGGAAGCTGCCGACGCAGAAATTTTAGTAAACGAGACACTGAATAATGCTTTAGTACACATCACATGCTGCCTCAAAAACGCCCCGAAAAAGTAACTTCCTGCGGCACTCGCCATGAACACCTAGCTAAGACAAAATAGACAGATTTAAAGTTTGAAGTCATACAGGACTTAATGTAATAAAAATGACAAAACAAATACTGATGGCATTTCAAATAAGGGTATTTTGGTTGAAATAAAATATATACCAACATCCTTCTAAGCTACAAATTCGGGAGGGGGAAAAAAGAGAGAGAAACTGCAAATCTAATGCTTTATATACAATACCTTTAGGGCAATTAAGAAAGAGAATAATTTCATCACTTGTGATTTTTGGGTCGCCTTTATTTTGGAGGCATTTACGTTTTCATCATGGTTGAAGAAGCAGCTTGGAAGCAGGTGAGTTGCAAGTGCATGCTGCTCCTGAACTTGTTCAGCAGCTCTTCCAGTAGCCTGCAGGGAGCAGAGAGCACGTTACAGCCTGCCAGAGCGCAGGCGGGCCAGCAACGCCCGCAGACGCGCAGGGGAGCCTACTGCGCTATTCATCTATCGAGTCTCAACTCAGTGACAGAAACAAGTCAGTCAAAGCAGGTAGTAGAAAAGGAAGATGCATATTTATGTTTATATATAACAATCTCCCTCCTGTTCCCTTCCCCAAGTTCTCCTGAAAACAGATTGTTTGCACCTGTCCATTTTCTTAATTCACTTTTCAAAATTCTGCATACAGTAAAATGTACTCCTGCTGGCATACCGTTCTATGAATGCTAATAAACACAGCACAGGATAAGAACTCCCATCGTTCTCCAAATTCCCTTGCACTGTCCCTTTTGGCCACCTTTCCCTCTACCCCTACCCAGGGACAACAGTTTGTCTAGTCTCCGTTCCTATTATTTTGTATTTTTGTCTTTAACAAATATTGGCAAGTGATGAGCTAAAACCAGAAGAATCAAGGTTACTTCTAACTCCACTGGGCAAATCATTCTACTACTTGATAACTCAATTTGTTTCTTTAACTGGTCTGATATGTCCATATAATTTTAGGGCCAGAAGGATCTTAGCTTTATCTAGTTCAGATGAAGCAACTAAGAAGTGGGCTGGGGTCAAGAGATTATCTCATGGTTTAACAATGCTCAGCATTAGAACACTGTCCCAACCAACAGTAGATCTAAATTATCGTCCATCCAGGACTACATCAGGGTGGCTGTAGTTCTTGACTCGCCGCAAAAAGCACTTGCTTTTTGAGCCTTGTTCTGTATGTTACAAATAATAGTAATTGTTTTCATCCTTTATCAAATTTATTTTAAATAAATGAACAAGGTTTAGAATAAATTCAGAGCTTGAAAGTTAGTGTGAGGAGAAGGAAGTAGGAACATGGCAAAAAGGAGTGTAGGTGTGAGTACGGTTTGACAGCCATCCACTTGCCCGTCTGGGAACACACACAGGAACACATACGCATACTGGTCCGCTACCATCCCTCCCAGCCCACAAAATGTACATTGCTGAGCTACTCCAAGGAAAAATCATTAAGCCCTGCATTTTACTATGCTGTCCTCTCTTTTACATTTCCAAGTCTTTTCTTAAAAATGCAAGATAATGATAGTTTAGTGAGTGAGTCAAAATTAACTTTTTTTATGACGTTTTCTATACTAGTCACTTAAAACAAGAAAAGAACAAATTTATAAACTGCCATGAACCCAGAGGAAGAGTTTCACGAGCTCTGCCCTGAAGACCAGCAAGGCACAGCCAGCAGCGTGCACACCTAAGGGCTCCTCAACACGGCTCCTCCTTAAGTCCAAATCGCCCCTGGTGACAGGAGTGCTTCTGGGGAACACCACGTCCACCGGCTCCGAAGAGCACATGACACTTACTTCTTGTCGGCCGCGCTGGACAGCTGGGGCAGCGCCTCCACGGCCTGTTTGAAACTGGACCTGCAACACGAGGGCGACACTCCGGCTGAAACAGTCCAAGTTCTCAGGGGAAGAGGAGCATCACTGAAAACTTGTCAGCATAACTTAAACATAAAGAAACTAGTCTAAACCAGTGCAGCATGTAGAAATATGAGGAAGAGTGCAAGTGTAAAGCGAGGAGAAGTAAATGTGTGGTGTAGTTACCAGAAACTGTAGGGGCAGGGGCAGAAAGCTCATCTGGGAAATGAAACGTAACTTGAAAAACTAAAGGAGAAATGGAGTTTTATAAAAGGATGCTCCTAGTGGTAGATGAAAGCTTAATGTGGGCATTTCATTTTTTAAAGGGTCTTTATTTCAAAACAAAACTGAAGTCTAGATAAAACAACTGGTCAGAAAGGAAGAACACTAAGTAGAAATATGATCTTGTGAAAGGGTACACAGATGGGGCCATCAGCAGTATTGACGTGCGCAGGGACTGGTTTACAGCCACTATCTTACAACGCTGTAACTGAGCACAGTCTTTATAGAAATTAGCTATAATTAATGTTTAAAATTTGGAAGATAATGGAGAGATGTATCTATATATTTTTAAAAAGTCAACATTATTCCTTTTCATGAAAAAGAAGAGTTTTAAAACCACCAATTTGGTATGGTTGACTTGTTAATGTAGAAAGTAGCAGAAAAATTGCTGAACCAAATTAACAGCATTTTAGGGGAGGTTATTTAGTAATAACTTATACCATTCATGTGGAGACAGCTAAGGTGAAGAAATAAATATCATTCATGACTTTAAAGTGGTCTCTGATTTTGTCTTGTAAAAACATCCTCATCACTACCAGAAAATAACTTTTGAGGAGGACTTCTCAAACTAGAAACAGATGCCCTAGCAACATATAGAGAGACTGCAAAGTCCCAAGAGAGTCATAAAAAGTGGCACTTGATACCATCAGTTGTTCCTGGTGGGGGCAGGGTGTGGGTACAGGCAGAGGTACGGCTCGTGGGTACACTTAGCTCTCTTCCCAATATGAAATCGGCTCTATGCTTTCCTGATGTCGAGGGAAGTCTCTGCTGTATCTCCACAATCATCTTGTTTCCTGTAAATCTCTTCTCAATTAATCAAATAAATGTGATGCTATTATTCTTTATTTTTATATTATGACGGTAATGATGATGATGATATGACCTATTATTTGTAGTGCACCAACAGTTTAGAAGATGACTTTAGATATTTCTCATTTAATTTCCAAGAACTTTGCCTAGGAAGTATTATCTCCCTTTATAGCGAGGAACTTAGGTGCGAAAGGCTAAGATACTGAGAGTAAATACACAGGCACTTACAGAAGTCATGCATGCACATCAACTATGGAAGGAATGCTTCCTGTCAGCTGTTGTTTAGCACTTCATGCAAAAAACAACAACAAAAATGACTGGGAAATGGTGTGGTTAAGCAACTAACATGAAAGCCATCTAGAAATGGCTTCTGGTAGCCATGATGAACAGGACTAAGGAGCTAACTTTGTCAGGCAAAACACTGAAGAAGTCTTTCGGTTGTAATGATGGCAGTAAGAATGGTGGCATAGCCATGTTATCAAAAGCTGGACATGAATGAATATGTATATTGCACAAAATATCCTTCAACATTTGCATACCACCTGGCTTCTCATGCACATTAACGGTATAACCCAAAATTTCCTAGGTAATGTTGCCAGTGGAGTAAACAATTTTGTGAAAGCAAGTAGTGCTGTTTCAGTTCATCTATTGATATTTCAACGATAGGAAATCCTGACTTTCATTCAAAACAGCTAGAAATCATCATCAAATTTCCACTACAAAATTTTGCAGAGAAAGCACAAGGCTTCCTCTTATGCTGACAATCACAACACATGAACTGTCCTTCAAAGTCTGCTATGAATAGACTCAATTCTTATTTTCTCTTTTTTTAAAGAAGAATGTAATGCTTTGCTATATCATTTATGAGACTAAAATTTATCTTACAGAATGAAAAACATAAAATCATATTAAATCTTTTTCCTTTATATTATGCTAACCAGTCTTAGGAGTCTGTGGCTCAGTATAAGTATACGCTTTTTAACTGAAAATTTGATCAATCGAATATAAACATTTTCCAATCACAAAATCATGAGCATTCACTCTGATCAGTTATCTTTTCAAAGAGTTTTATACATTAGTAAGGCAGCTCTACTTTTAAGGAAGCACTCAGAAGAACCATCAGCATCTCACCTGCTCTCAGGCGTCAGGTGGACAGCCACAGTGTCCCTCAGGGCACAGACTTCAAGCCTCGCCTGAAGAGGAGGGAAGGAAAAGTGAAGTAGGATCTGAGATGATGCTCAGATAGAAGCGGGTGGTAAGGGAGGCCGTCTCCAGCCTGCTCGCTGTGGGCACAGTGCTGACAGAGTAGTACTGGCACATGGACACCTCAGTACCTCCACCTCCCTGTGACTATTAGTTATGAACAGACTTTCAAAAATAGAAATCAGCTATGACAAAATTTCCTTTGCCTGAAAATTAACTTACAGCCAAGCGACTGAGTGAAGACAGAGAGTTCCATATCTTGCTGTGAAAGGTACAAACTACACAAGGATTTCCCAGCAATATGTATTTACTATGTAATCAGTGATTTTTCTTTTATTCTGCTTGTGAGAGGAGAAAGTCTGGATCGCTGACCCTGAGTTATTCCCCGCCCCACAGATTTAAGAAAGTGGGCTGGCTCACTTCCTCACACCTATGCCGTTCCAGCACACTGGGTCATCTCAAGGCTGCTCTCAGCTGTCTTTTCTGTTGAAAATAGGTCATGTTTTCCTGTTTGTACATTTCAATGAAATTTGGATAGTACCCTAGACCCTGTGTATGTCATGTTGTGGAGACTCTGGATCCATAATATGCCTCTGAAGAGTGCTGATGCTGATTTGTTTTAGCAAGCAATTTCCTTATTTGTACTCAAACTGAGAACTCTTGGCTCTTGGGAAGCATTTCCATTCTTACTTCAGTTCTTTCAGCCTTAGTTGGGCTGGCTGTAGTGGAGTGTGGCCATGCATACATGGTTCAAAGGCCAACTAGAGACTTAAACAGTGTATACACACAATTTCTAGCTCTTGCTTTCTGGGGTACCTTCCCCGTTCTGTTGTTTGCCCTATTCTTCAAGCTTAAAAGATGTAGGTTGTGCAGAGTTTTAGGCACTGCTGGGTTTGCCTTCAGGCTAAAATCCATAAAAAGTGAGGAACTCAACCAAGTGTCATTTCATCCAGAATCACCATTTAATGGCCATTTCGCCAGTGTTTTTCATATTTTTGTTTTTCTTTTAACATTTAAAAATTTTTATATATTATTGAAGATATAGTTGCTATCTGTATGGGCTTAGCCTGGTAAGAGCTTCTTCAGCCATTACTGGAAGAAAAACTGGCAGGACTTTTAAAAACACAGTGTTCTTGCCCTGGTCGGTTTGGCTCAGCGGTACAGCGTCGGCCTGTGGTCCAGAGAGACCCGGGTTCGGTTCCCGCTAAGGGCGTGTACCTCAGTTGCAGCTTGTCCCCGGCCCTGGTTGGGTTGTGCAGGTGGCAACCACTCGATGTGTCCCTTTCACGTAGATGTTTCTCTCTCTCTCTCCCTGCCCACTGTATCTGAACAAAAAATGGAAAAATGTCCTCGGGTGAGGATTAAAAATAAATAAATAAAAATAAAATAAAATAAAATCGGTGTTCTAGATCACTGACAGCTCTGGTGCAGGAGGTCACACTCCACATGCCTGCACACCTGGGCTCCTACCAATTTGGCTACATGCATTCAAGAATCATCTGGTTTATATAAGTTATATCTGCTATTGTAATTATGTAATTTAACTAATTACAACACAAACCAATAGAATATAAGTGCAAAGAGACAGTTATTTGTCATTTCTATGCAAACTATATTGAATAGTTTAGAAAGACATTAAAAGTTGCTAAAAATTTCTCATGGGGATTAAATGTAGTGGAGACAACTGTAAAATTAAAAGGAAAAGAAGCACAGAACTTCAGAAGGAATCTGCATCCAGATAATCTCTCGAGTCGGTAAGGCCTTGCCCTGCTCTGAGGACGGAACCTCTGGGACTTACAGACAAGGTGTGATGGGTGTGGCCATGCGACAGAGACGACATGCACCTCCAATCAACAGATTCATAAAAAAAAACCCCAAACCTGCGTGTCTGTCCTAAGAACAATAACTAAAAATATGTTTAAATGAAATACAAGTCTGACATGCAATGGAGTGATTTTGGCACCTGTAATGCTCCGTTTTTGCTGAAGGATGAAACACACTGCATCAGTCGACTGAGCTCTTCAGAAACTGCTTCCACCACCTTGGATAGGACCCGAGGCACCAATTCTTTAGAAATAGTGAACACCTGAAAGGTTTAAAATAAAGAGAAATGGTGCATTATGGGGACTTACCCTGAGTTCAATTTGTTAAAAACAAAGGAATGAACAAAAAAGGTAGGAAAAAAGACCACCATAAAAACCATTAAATTAGCCTCTTTTACCTTTTTTCCAGTTACTAATATGTCTTAGGAACATCTAATGATAGCTTACCTCTGCATGCACTGCAATTATGTTCACCAGTGCTTCTTTTAAATAGTTCCTGACACCTGAAATCAAGATGGGGGAGGGAAAAGAAATTTAATGGAAACACAAGCTGCTTACCCTGCCCCTCCCCCCATGGCATCATTGTGCATAGTCCTACTGCCTCACAGTTTTCTAAGGAGAAACAAAGTAACACCACCACTATCTAGTTTCTTTTGAGAACCAAATAGTGAAAGGACTATTTTTGTACATGTTTTTTTAAAAAAAGGTTAAATTACTTAAGCTTTTTCTTTCATTACTTTTCCATTGTCATTGTTTATATTCTCTGTAACTGTAGGTCAAGTCTCCTTCAAAGCTGAAAATTTAAAATGTCCTTCATGTATATATTCTTCACATGTATGCATACACACACTCAAATTAACAGGCAAAAAATAGACAACAGAATGGTATTTACCAAAACTTATAAAACATATGCTAAATATTTATCATGGAATCATACTTCCAAAGGTAAATAATTACGCAGAATAACTATTTTTATTAAAAAATCTTCACCCAAGGATACTTTTTTCCCATTTATCATCAGATAGAGTGGGAGAGAGAAAGACTGACGTGAGAGACACATCAACTGGTTGCCCCCCACATGACCCCGACCAGGGCTGGGGACTGAACCATAACTGAGGTATGTGCCCTTGACAGAAATCAAACCCATGACTCTTTGGTCCATGGGCCAATGCTCCAACTCCTAAGCCAAACAAGCAAGGGCTACAGTATAATGATTTTGATTTTTAAAAAATTGCTTTTGGGAGAAACTCTGACAAAACCACACTCAGTCTGATTCTGCAAATCAAGTTCAAGACTGGACAAAATACAAGATTTCAGATGGTACAGAATTAATTAATTAATTAATTAACTAACTCTAAAGCAGGCACACACAAGACTTAGTGCGAGAGTCTGAAGTCAGAGTATCTAAGATCACACCCCAATCTGATAAGGCTCTGTGCTCCTTCCAATACACTATCCTGAAAATACGAGGGCAGTTTTTAAGTTTGTAAATTTGTTCAACGTAAAAGAGAAGAGTGGGGCCAGAGTTCTGACTAAAAAGCAAAAAAGTAAACTTAGAATGAAGCAAGGCAATGTCATATGCTCAGTATGTTATAACTCAACTCCCACTCTGACCCTGACAAGAAAAACATTTCCTGGCAAGAACCCATCAGACTAAGCATTACTAATAAAACACCCTTAAGAGAGATAAATCTAAATTACTCAGTACAATTCTAAAGACAAAGCTGTAAACACTAGGAAAAAACTACAGGACACTTTCAACCAGTGGAATCATATTTCTGTTGATAAGAAAATTTGAAAGAAAACAAAAAAATCAAGCTTCCTGTTTTATGTTGACCACAGGTTTCATAAGGATAATGTATTGGAAGGAGCACAGAACCTTGATCTTGGGCAAGTGAAAAAATTCGGAATTTCTTAGAATCTTCTTTTTGTGAACAGAAACAAATGAAGTAAGTCTCTCCCCAAGCAACAACAAGCTGCTGCAGGGGGTCAGTGGAGAAGAGAAGGGAGAAATAGAAAAAGAGCTCCTAGTCAAGTCACAGGAAGTCTGTAAGGGTTTAAGAAGACGGCATTAAATTGAAGACGTCTGAAAAGGCATGCTAGCTCAAGGCAGAGCTCGATGACATGGAACAGCCTCCCAAAGTAATGCATATGCTGATGTTTTAACAATAATCATTTTTAAATATATAATAAGTCATTGATTGCTTCTCTCCAAAAAGCTACCCATTGCGGTGATACAGAGATAAGTTTTTTTGTATTGTCTACTGGGATAAAATTGTTTATTTCTAAGGGAATGGCTAAAAGTTCTCATTCTTGCATTTAACATAAATTTGTTGAGATTCTACCCCCTGGTGGACACTGTTAGGCACACCTCAGAGGTAGTCAGACATTGGGTCCTTCCAGTAGAATATGTAAGCTCCCAATATGAATAAGACCCTAAAGTGCTTATTTTTACTTTAATTTACTGGTGTTCACAAATGTATCTATCTAGTTGTACATAGAAATTAGCAGTAGATGGCTATATAAAAAGGTTTTAGTTAAAAAAAATCTTTGTACTCCAATTTAAAGTAGTCTGTAAAATATTTGTTTTTTTTCTATTTTATGAGGTTCTTAAAAGGTTAAAGAATAGCATGTGGGGAGGGGTGGTAAAGTCAGGGTAAAGGGCCTAAAGACTAGACAGCTCTGTGTCTAGGGAGTGAGGTATGAAGGTTATAAACATGAAACAGATAAGATCTTTGTGGTCTTCCTAGTTAAGAATTTCAATTCCTTTCTCTCTTCACTCCACTCTACAGCCAATTATCTGATGAGAAACAAAGCCCTGCTCACTAGCCTTCCTTCCCCAGCCTCTCCCCTGTACTCACTCAGGGGCCCACATGGAGACTTGAAGATGGGTTTCTAGCAAACTAAATGCAGATTAATCCCTCAGGTTTAATTGTCTGTTGAGTTTTGTTTTAAAATATTGCTCCAAATTAAACTGTAGGAGGACTGTCCGCTCTTTCACAAATCTGCACCAGAAGCAGCCGTGACGCGGCAGGTGCAGAGACTGCCCTGCTTTCCGCACGCGCAGTGGCGCCAGAGCCCCACCGAACACGCGCCAGCGCACGGAGTGGCCAGTTCGCCCGTCCGACTGGGCAAGTACGGGAATCATGCCAAACGGATGAAGATGCAAACCTCCGCGCCGAGAGAACAGATCTGGGTTTGGGGAAATGAAAAGTTGGGTCTTCCCTGTGATTTCACTGACAGCTGAGTTACACTGGGCAGTCCCTTCCTTGAACAGGAGTTAGATTTGGAAAGTAAGAAAGTGGTGGTAAGAACGCCAAGAAACACATCGCCCGAGAACAATCCTGGAGCCGTCAGAGAAACTGCACGTCTTCTGCCGTCAGGGGCTGGCGGCCCTGAGCCCATGGCGAATGAAGTGAACAAGGAGTTAAAGGGTCCACGGTCATGGCACTAAGGGTCAGGACCAGGATTGTGACAAAAAACCACATTTTAGTTAATTTGAATGGTACATGTCACATGTGCTATGACGGACAGGCTGGTCTGGCACGATACTCTGATTTTGCTGGGTTGCACAAAATTCTCTGGAAACTGGAATTTTTGTGGAGCTCTTGTCATACTGGTTTTGGAAAGGCTGGCGGACCACCACTAGGGAAGGCTGGCATCTGAGCAACGGCCTCTGGAATCACAGCGCGCAGCAAAAGTAGGTTCACAGTTGTGAGTATGCGAAACAGTTTCTTCTTCTATTTTTTGGTAATGATTGCATTATTTTCCAGATGAACAACTGTAAATCGACTTTTTCGCACACCCTCTATGTATGTGAACAAAAGGCAGAAGCAGATGCTGACCTCAAATACCCATGATACTAAGTCACCTTTGGGCAAGTTTCTGAACAGCTCTAACTTGTTGCTTTCTCGTTATAAAACAGATCCCATTTGTTAAGTGAAATACTGCTAAGTACAGCAGGCAGGCATCAGACAGAAGGCACTGGTACTGGTCACATCCGCCGACCCTCCCTCTGTTTCCCAGGTGCTGCACTTCGCTCACTTCTTGTGTCCTCACTGCTGGGCCCCAATCCTCCCACTGCAGCAGCTCTGTTTGTGTGGCTGCTTGTCTGATCTCTCCCCTCCGCCAGGCTGTCAATTATAAGCCTCACTTACCTCATCTTTGTAGCCTCAGTACCTGCCACAGTGTCTGGCCTGTAGCAGCAGATGCTCAAAAATAATTATGAATTAAGAAGTCAAAGAAGGCAAAGACCACGTATGGCTTGCTCACTAGTAAGTTCCTAGGACTTAACCCTCTTAAGTAAATTGATAAGTAACTGAATGAGTGAACACCAGAAAAAAAATTAGTATTTGTAGAAGTCTATAATACATTATTCTGTATTTGAGTCATCCATTAAAAATGGCAATTGCTCAGTTTATGTGCAAAGGAGACATTCTCTGCTAAAGCATGTATCTCTCCACTTCTCACTGGATTTAAGAAACAAAAAGTCCTTTTGAGGTAATTTTTCAGAATTCATTTGAAAAATACTATTTGAATTAAAGTATAGCAGAATAAAATATTGCTGAGGCTAACTACATTTGTTTTCTAAATATGCCTTACTTTTCTAGCTATATATTTAAGCAAATAGTGTATTCCAAATAATAAACCATGAAATATTTACCGAATGCTTGCCACGTGCTAGTTACTTAGGCAGATGATTGGATATATTAGAACACAGTGCACACTCAGTAAATGTGTTAGGAAATCTAGGTTTTAGTTTCAGCTTCAACAGTAGCAGGCAAAAAATGCCAAATTTGTGGTACTACTAGGGAAGACACTGGTAATGTTGACAATGTGCACAGGAAAAAGGCAAACTGACTTGCTCCTTGAAATTACAGACAGGCTACATTATTATCATGTAGTAATAAGTATTGCTTTGAAAAAGATTACCCTTAGGTAAACCCCCACAATTTTCCATGTTATTTATGCAAGGGAATGAGAACAGTTCTAAACATTTAGAATATGTATCTCCTGTACTCTGAATATGAAATTAGAATGTGTCATGATATTTGACCAAAAGTGTCCCCGCCCACACAGTATCAATCTAGACTATCACGTAGCAATTAATCTAGTAGCCCAGTGTGGAAATTCCCCATGGAGAAAACAAAGCTCATCTCTGCTCTGAGCAGGAACCTGTAGGCTTTTTTTCACAGGGTGGGCTTCCTGTAAGTGGGCCCCTTTACCACATAGCATCTTCTCCAACAATGAAGGTCTTGTTTTTCATACATTAAAGTAGAAAAAGAGGTTTTTTTCTTGCTATCTTTGTCAGTTCCTTCTTTTAATCTAATAGGGCCCTTGATTTTTGGAATCGACACACTGCTAAAAATATGTATTGAGTGCTTATTACTATTACACATCAGACTCTATTCCAAGTGCTGGGGCTACAGTAGACCAAAAAACAAGGTCCCTCTCTTCACAAGACCTACCTTCCAGTGGGGGCACATCCAGATTTAAGAAAATG